ATTAGAAATATATATATACTTGAATAATGTTTGTATTAGATAAGCATATATAGAATTCTAACTGTTTATTGTCATAATGATATATTAACACTTCTTTTTCTCTTTGTTGTATTTTTTTACATTTTTGTTAAAGCACTTTTATGTATTATTTTTCTTCTTTTTGTAATCAAAAAATTTAAAAATAAATAATAAATAAATGTAAAAGGATACTTTGATCACCCTTCCCAAACAGAGACTGTGGAGATCAGCTTCTTTGCTGCCAGTTCAATAATGATGGGACGCGAGTTGCAGCAGGATTGCGCACTGGAGCCATTAAGGTCAGTGTCAGGCAAGGAAAGTTCCAGAAACCAGAGTTGTCCACAAAGGGGCAGTCAAAAATGTCAAGAAGGCAGCTACGACCATGCAATTGAAGCCCCATCCCTTTTTCATATGCGTCCCATATGTTACACATATGTGTGCATGGCCTCAATTGCATAGCCGCAGCTGCCATCTTGATTCTTTTGACCCCCCTGCCACAAACAGGTGCCATATTGTCTTTGGCCTCAATGTTCAGCAATCTTACCTTACTTGGTTCCCTCCCAGTGTGTTACATTCCAAGAGGCTGCAAGATGGGTTGTGGTTCAACTTCCATCTGAAAGGCAACAGGCTGGAAAGACTGTGCTGGAGATTTTGAGCACCCACAGCTGCCTGCTGGGAATCAGAAAGGCCATCACTTACAAGCAAGGGATCAGAGACCACAACATTCTTTGCCCTTTATTTTTTAGCATCTGATCCATCATCTCAGATGTTCAGTATGCTCAAAACGTTCTGTACAAATGGGTATACCAAAACATCTACAGAACTGAGGGAAAGGATAATCTACAACAAACTTAGGAGCTCATGTGATGTACTGGTTAAGATGTTAGACTAGGAGTAGAGAAAACTGAGTGCAAGTCCATTCTCAGGAATGAAGACTCACTACATGACTTTGGGTCAACCCCTCCCTCTCAACCCACCTCACAGGGGATCAAAATGAAGGGAGATCCCCACATATGCCACTTTGAGATCCTAAAAGAAAGATAGAGTATAAACATAACAAATTATACTAATCAGAGAATTGCAATCCTAAACACATTCACCAAAGGGAAAAAACACAAGGCTCCAAAGGATTTGCATCTAGGTAAACCCACACAGAACAGCAATGAATGGTGATCTGAGGTGCTCATGTTACCATTACAATTAGATATCTAACTAATACTGTATATCACAAGCTGTCTCGTATCAGGAACTGGTTTATTTAGTTCTGTTCATCAGGGATAGAGAATCTGTGGCCTCCACAGCATTTCTGAATTATGCCACCAACATTTATAAGTCTGTTGATTTTTGATCAATATAATCTCCCTCCCTCCCTCCCTCCCTCCCTCCCTCTTTCTTTCTTTCTTTCTTTCTTTCTTTCTTTCTTTCTTTCTTTCTTTCTTTCTTTCTTTCTTTCTTTCTTTCTTTCTTTCTTTCTTTCTTTCTTTCTTTCTTTCTTTCTTTCTTTCTTTCTTTCTTTCTTTCTTTCTTTCTTTCTTTCTTTCTTTCTTTCTTTCTTTCTTTCTTTCTTTCTTTCTTTCTTTCTTTCTTTCTTTCTTTCTTTCTTTCTTTCTTTCTTTCTTTCTTTCTTTCTTTCTTTCTTTCTTTCTTTCTTTCTTTCTTTCTTTCTTTCTTTCTTTCTTTCTTTCTTTCTTTCTTTCTTCCTTCCTTCCTTCCTTCCTTCCTTCCTTCCTTCCTTCCTTCCTTCCTTCCTTTCTTCTAAAACGTATTCCATACAAACCCTCAACCTATATGCTAAAACAAACACACACACAAAACCAAGGAAAGGATAGCTCCAGCCACAAAAAAACTGCTATGAAACCTGGAGTATATTGACTTGTTGCAACTGCTCCCCAGGATTCCAGGCAAATTTGTTCCCCAGCTATATCCAAAGATGGCGAGGGTTGAATCTAGGTATTTATATACCTTGGGGAACTTGCAAAATATATGCTGTATACTTGAGTTACATTCTACAGAAATGGAGTCATACAGTCTTCAAAGAGCTCTGTGCCATATTATCAGCTTCAGCGCCAAAGCTACAATTTTATTTTGTGATATTATCCATGGGAACCACCTATATTCCTCTGGATTTCTGTGCTATGGTCTTTTGCTTAATGGAACTAGCCGTTTCTTGTAGAATGCTATCCTCCTATTGTGTTGATATCTCTTTGTCTTCCCTCCTGTGCTCAAGGTTTATTCTGTCAATGATGGGTCACTTCATCACATTCTTGCTGACAATGAGACAACATCTTTAGGACTACCTACCACCTCAATGCACTTTATGCCCCGTGGGCCTGCCCACAATGGAGATGTCATACTTACCACCTGTGAGTGATGCTTTTCTGATATGATGAGGTTTGAATTCAGCTTCTTGGCACAGAGCATTTATTTCTTTTTGTTTGGAGTATGCAAGACCCTGAGTATTACTAAGCCTTCTTGATAAACCAAACAATGGTTTAGTTTGCATTACGGTTTAGTTTGATATGTGAACGGGGTTATTTAGCATTGCCATTTATACTGATCTAAATCTGGCTGCATCCTTAAGCACTGACAAACATCGTTCACTGCGCATTTGAAGTTTTACAAAGTTGTTCAAGTCAGAAAAGGACCCTTGTTAATTTTGTCTCATTTTGACTTCTACTGCCCCACGAAAATCTACCCTGCTTAATGTAATTAAATCTCTGGGCTCTTTCCCGACCACAGATTCTGGTGGGAAAGTGAAACTATGGCACGTCTCTACTCGCACCTGCGTGCGCACCATAACAGAGGACCGCCAAACCTTCATGGCCTGTTTCAATCATTCTGGCTCCAAGTTTGTCACAGGTGGAGCAGGACCTGGAATTTACATGTATGATGCTCAGACCTGGGATAAATTGGAAAATTTTCTGCCAAGGTACGCTGTTGAGATTAGGACATCGAGTCTTGTGAGGGTCAGAAATTTAAGAACTATATAATGGGCTGAATTTAGTAGGTAACTTTGTGGTTGGCTTTTGGCTTCTAAGTGCAGCTGTAATGGGCAGAAGGAACAGGAGGAAGAGCCGCAACCAAGTTAATGGTCAGATAAAAGAAATATGCGTCTGGGCTAGAATGTAACCTGAATAAGCATTTCAGACAAGAGCCTCCCTAGTCCTTATGAAGATAAAGGGAGGGAGGGAGGAAGCACATTCAGACTTGCAAGATTCTGATACTATAACCTTATAATAAAAGTAGTATTATTTATTTATTTTATTTATTGGATTTCTCCCCTGCCCATCTCCCCCACAATGGGGGACTCTGGGCGACTTACAAAAAACATTAAAATTATAAATATATATAAAATACATAATACATCTAGAATTAAGAACAATACTAAAGAAGGAAAACCCAAGAGGATGAAAAATCTGAGGCTGAAGACCGAAGGCCTCTATGGGGCTAGCCATCCCCATGCTTGAGGTATTCCCTC